TACAAATACTATTATTTTATATAGAATCAGTCGAATTCCAGAAAAGAAAACAAGTATTAAGAGATTAATATTGATATTCGTTAATGACAAGTTGAACCACATTTTTACTTATCTGACCATCAACGACAATAATGCAGGTAATGTCACTCACATTGTCGGACACGATAAAAGTGTCCTTTGTTCGAAAAACACGTCAGTTTATGATTTAACATTGTCCTGTACGCATCATCGATGATGTCTTGAAGACTTGGCCAACAGGGTGGTAATGACAATAACAACATTGTTTATAGTTTAGATTAAGAATTTAATACTTATTGTTATTTTCTTTATATTAAGAAAGATTCTATTAAAATAATAAATATAAAAATATCAAAGTTTTCAAATGTCCTGATATCAAAATCTTACCCGAAACATATAATATTTTACGAAATTTGTTGAATCTTGTTAGATTTTATTCAGATTAAAACGATAGTTATTCTATTCATTAACTAAAAAATAACATATTTTTAAACTTAAAAGCCCAATACCTAACACGTGTATGATTTAAATTTAATATTTGTCTTGAAGACTTGGCCAACAGGGTGGTAATGACAATAACAATATTGTTTATAGTTTAGGTTAAGAATTTAATACTTATTGTTATTTTCTTTATATTAAGAAAGATTCTATTAAAATAATAAATATAAAAATATCAAAGTTTTCAAATGTCCTGATTAGGCATGCCAAACGGGAATTCCCGAAAATCCCGGGATTTTCGGGATTTGAAAGTACCGAAAACCGGGATTTTAAAAACTGAAATACCGGGAAATTTGGGGATTTGAAAATCCCGAATTTTTAAGTGTTTTTTCCGCTATTTTATACATTATAAACTATTAAATAAGAGAATTTTAAAAGTTTTTGGACTTAAGATGACTATACTAACTTTCAAGCTGAAATATCAAAAATAAAAAGGGCAACAAATAGGCATAGATACTATCGGATATATAAAAATAACAAGTAAGAAATTATTGGCGGGCGAGGACGACCATATAACCCCCTGCACCAGTTATGAGAGTAAAATGTGATTTAGTTTTCATAATAAATCATTTAAGTTGATTTATACCTCGCCTCCGATATATTTAGCAATTTATTGTTAAAAAACTATTTTCTGAAATATGCTTGGGGGAAGCCTTCACATGAGTCGATCCTCATAAAATTTGGAGGAAGAATTTACGGTTACATAAAATTTATTTATGCTGAATTTCATTACGGCACTTCTCTTTTTAAGCGAAATGAGAAGAAGCCCGATAACTTCAAAATTCATCAGGGTATTTAAGGACAGTATAAAACAAAAGCAATACTCCGAAGATACCCAATATACCTTCCCCACTAAGGTGGTATAGGGTATAAAAAGGGCAATAATCGGATATCTAATGGGTGTATTAGAATCTATAATGGAAGTCAACCTGTCAATAAGATGGCGAGATGATAATTCCCTTATTTGGGTTAGAGAACACGGCAAAAGCTGGAATTACTATGGAATTACTATTTCTCTACTGACCATTAAAAACCATATATCCGATATTCATCTCAAGACGAATGGTCTCATGAGTACATAGGTGCAGTACAGGAGCTCTATGTAGCCTCGTATGGATCCTCATTACGCATACTATCTAAATATTAGGTTTCATCAAATTGTAAATTATTTTATATTTATAAGATATAAGAAGCTTTTGCTCAAAAGTAGGTTTTTATTCTACTATTCAGTACCTGGGATGGAAAGATTTTTATTATAAGTACTTTGAATTAATTTGTTTTTCTTTTCACAAAATGCTTATTGGAAAGTAAACACCTTCTAAGTGTATTCATATTGCAATATGAAATAGAAAATGTTATTTTTGTCGGTGAATTATTAAGATTTTTTTGAATTTTTTTATATTTTTCGGGATTTTGAAATCCCGAAAATCCCGGGATCCCGATATCGGGATTCCGGGATTTATTTAAAAATCCCGAATCCCGGGATTTCTAAATATCAGTCCCGATTGGCATCCCTAGTCCTGATATCAAAATCTTACCCAAAACATATAATATTTTACGAAATTTGTTGAATCTTGTTAGATTTTATTCAGATTAAAACGATAGTTATTTTATTCATTAACTAAAAAATAACATTCCCTCTATTTTTAAACTTAAAACCAATGTTGCCCAATACCTAACACGTGTATGATTTAAATTTAATATTTGACCTTGAATAAATACAAACTTTATTCAAAAATCTACAAGGATAAAAGTTCAAAAATTCTAAAAATATTTGAGAGAAATAGTTTTTATTCGGCTAATTTTTAAACTGCTAAAAATATTAACAATTTAGCTAAGAAAAAATCAAAAAACGTGCTTGTGTTTTAAGACAGAATTTGAATATTGTCTACAAAACCAACTAAACAAGCAGTCCTACCATATTTGGCTGACACTGTCTTTGCTAGCATTGCTAAATATGTAGTCCAGTCCATGTTGCGTATACTTGATACCAAAATAATGTTTAATAATTACTACACATACGTCGTGTTGTTGTTATTATTATTATTATTGCAAAACTATTTATAATTTATTTAAATCGAATTTAATGGCTATATATTATTAATAAGCAATAATTATAAAATTGTTTACCTTTTTCGTTAGGATTTGTGATGTTTGCCTTCTTGCGATTCTTCCGCTTTAAAATTTAAATAAGAATATTTGAATATTTTGTTTTTCTTTTGTCGTTTTAGCTCTCGTTGTCGCTCTCTCCCTCTTTCTCGCACCTTGTTGGTTTTTGTGTTTTTGTTTTCTTTTTTTATATGTTTTCGTCGTAGTCGTTGTCAGGTTAGTTTATATGTAGATTATAGATTTGTGTTTGTGACTTTGTTTGTGTGTTTTATTTTGGTTTGATTCAACATAAAAGGGTTTTCTTTAGACAATTATAGAATATTAATTTAGTATTTTACTTTTGCAATTAATAATTGAATTTTTATTTAATTCGTTTTTAGTTGAAAATTTATTTTTTTATAAATTTTTTTCTTTTATTCTTAAATCGTTGATAATTATTCGTATTTATTTGAGTTATGTGTTTTTAAGAATTTCGTTTAAACAAAAATGTCCAACACCACGGGTTAAATAAACAATAACAAATGAATAAAAAAAATATTAAATAATAATTATATATGAACGTGCCGGCACCTGTCTAGGCGATCAATCTTTTTATTTTCGTATTATTTCTCTCTTTTATTTTTAATGTTGGTTTTTTTATTTACTCACTTGTTGTTGCTGGTTTTAAGATATACGACAACAAATTAAGTGATGCAATTTTTTATTTATTATTGTTGATTGGCGGCTGCTGTTGTTGTTGTTGCAATTCTGTTATTGTGAAGTGAGTGTAGCGGTTTTATTTTCTTTAATATTTATAAATATTAATGGTTTTTCTCACCATAAAACCTCAAAATAATTAAAAAATAGCTTTTTATTGTTGCTACTTTTTTCTATAGGTAGTATGACGTTGCTGTCGTTGTTGTTGTTTTATTTTCTTGTGGTGCAAATCGCAGACAATTCTTCACGTTTTATTTTGTGCTTGTTGTTGTTGCTGTTGTTAATTTTTGTTTTTTTTCTATTGATTTTCTTTTTGGGGTTCTTTTTTGTTTTTGTTTCTTAAGGCTTTAATTTGTGTTTTCGTTCGTATGATCGCTCTGCAAATTGTTAAATAAAATTTTGTGTTATTTTATTTTCGTTCGATAAAAAAAAGTTTTTTATTTAAAATTTCTTTGAATTCTCTTTCAAGTGCGCTCGCTCTTTTTTAAAACAGTTCAATTGTTTTAAGAGTAACAACTACTACGCCTCTATTATTTAGTTTTTGTTTTTGAATAAAACGTGTGTTGATCGTTCTCTAGTTCTGATGTGTATGTAGGCGGTATTTTTTATCGTTTAGTTTATTGTCTATTGTATCTCCACTGTTTCTGTTCTTTTGCAAACAATTTTTATTTTATAATTTTTTTTGTATCTACTTATAACTTTTCTCGATATGTATGAATTATTGTATGTGAACACAAAAGTGTGTATATGTTGTTGTTGTAGTTGAAAATATATCTGCAAAATACAATTACGAAAATAGATACAGTGAACCAAAAAAATATAAGAAATATAAAATAATGGCAAAATTAAACATAGTACATATACATTAATAGATACTATCTAAAGTCTTAAAAAATTAAAAAGGTTTCAGTCATTGGGCGTTTAATTCTATAAACTAGACAATGTCTAATCTATTGTCTATTATATCGACTAGTCTATTCTACAGAATCTAGTTTATCGACTACTCTTTTTTCTAGTTTATAGAGAGGTATTAGACTGTCTAGTCTATGGAACAATCTATTGACTAAATGGTCTTGTTTATTGCCTAGTATATTAATCTATGGGCTAATACAAGGTTAGGTTAGCATTAGGTTGATAGGATGATGTATAGTACATAAAATCGGCCACTATCTGGCCTGTTGAGCACTCGTTTTAATGGAAAACGTTTGTTTCGTAAAAACAAAAATCTAATATAGTGATAAATGAAGAACGTATTATTGTCCAATCACTCCAAAGATATTTGAAACTGACAATGGCAAAGAAAAGTGTTCCAGAGTTTCACTGTTCCACATGCCTGAATCCGCACGTTAAATTTTGCATAGTTTAGCACGTAATACTGTGTACTCAGATTCGCTCATTTTGAAGAGGCTTCTCGTCCTTCTCTTATCAGTGTCAGTCCATAATATCTTTGTGGTTCTTCGCACCGTTACATTATTCCAAGAAGCCGCTTGTAGCGTCCAATTGTTTTGCGTTGATTAGGTTAAATACCTCCAGCTCCCGTTCCTTTAAAACAAGTAAAGCTATAGCCCTAATTGCCTACTGGCTAATTGCCTACTGGCTGTCGGTTAGCGACGTATTTATTATTTTCCCATTTACGGATTCTGTTGAGGGCTAATAGAAATGAAACGTTAATTTTGAAAGTGATGAATATATTTGACCTCTAATATTTCATATAAAGCTCACGATATTTGTAGCGACTTTTAGCGGGTTTGAAACCCAACCAAACTAAACAATTTATAGTTTGTGATGACTTTGTTTCTATTTCTTAATCATAGTCTTATCAGTAGAATTATTCGCAATATTTCCAAAATAAAATTTAAGACTTTCATTGGAATATTTCTTTTTGATTTTAATAGAACTGATAATTAAAAATAAATGCATTGCAAACATTTGTATACAAAACTTTAATATTTTTTATAATTTTTCAAAAACCAGTTAATTATACATATATATATACACTGCATTGATGTCATTAATGAGTCAAATTCCCAAAAAAAATTTATATGTACAATACATATTGATAATAATAATTTCTGATTAGTTTTGCAAAAAATTTTTAGAAAAAATATATTATTTTAAAACTTAGTAATTGCTTTCTGATATGGAGTATTCCAAAAAATATGCAATTTCTCTTCGATTACTTTCAAAACAAAAATGTTAAGTAAAAATTAATAATAAATTCTACGATTGATCAAATACTAAACATTTGGGAAATTTTCCAATGGTGGGAATCTTCATATTATAATTTTTATGACGGAACTTTAAACCAAGATGACATTTAAAATTCATAAGAAATTTAATACACTTTAAGCCGAAATATTGGCCCTAAGAAGAGCACTGAATTAGCTATTGTCAGAATATCGAATGGAGATACAATATACATATACGAATATTTATCGACAGACTAATGGCATATCTTCTGAAATTAACTGGTTCTCAATTAAGCAACATGGCTAGTTTTACTATAGAATACTTCAAATTTGGTTTCCATGCTAGAAGACTTAGATTACACTAAAGTGACTTATGTCGAAGTTGTCAAGACGAGGAAGAATTATCAATCGACCACATTCGTTTTAAATTTGTTTTGCAACTTCTCGTTTTCTGTTCACGGATCATTTATAAATATACTATCAAACTCCTCATATTCAAGGAAGTTAGGAGAAGAGAATTTTACAATAACCCCCCAAATTTTCCAATTATTTTTTATTATTGTCATCAAATGTTTTGCAATTTTAAATATTATTTTTCTTTATAATATTTTTGTATTTAAGTTTATGAAATAAATGATAAATGGTTTGTAATTAATATTCCTTAAAGAATAATATACAGTGGGACACAATAAAAGATTAATATTTGAAATTGTCTATTTATACAGTTTGGTATTGAAAATGGTCCATGTTTCAGGTTCAAAATGGGAGTAAACATATTTATTTATTTATCTATCTATCTATCTATCTATCTATCTATCTATCTATCTATCTATCTATCTATCTATCTATCTATCTATCTATCTATCTATCTATCTATCTATCTATCTATCTATCTATCTATCTATCTATCTATCTATCTATCTATCTATCTATCTATCTATCTATCTATCTATCTATCTATCTATCTATCTATCTATCTATCTATCTATCTATCTATCTATCTATCTATCTATCTATCTATCTATCTATCTATCTATCTATCTATCTATCTATCTATCTATCTATCTATCTATCTATCTATCTATCTATCTATCTATCTATCTATCTATCTATCTATCTATCTATCTATCTATCTATCTATCTATCTATCTATCTATCTATCTATCTATCTATCTATCTATCTATCTATCTATCTATCTATCTATCTATCTATCTATCTATCTATCTATCTATCTATCTATCTATCTATCTATCTATCTATCTATATATCTATATATCTATCTATCTATCTATCTATCTATCTATCTATCTATCTATCTATCTATCTATCTATCTATCTATCTATCTATCTATCTATCTATCTATCTATCTATCTATCTATCTATCTATCTATCTATCTATCTATCTATCTATCTATCTATCTATCTATCTATCTATCTATCTATCTATCTATCTATCTATCTATCTATCTATCTATCTATCTATCTATCTATCTATCTATCTATCTATCTATCTATCTATCTATCTATCTATCTATCTATCTATCTATCTATCTATCTATCTATCTATCTATCTATCTATCTATCTATCTATCTATCTATCTATCTATCTATCTATCTATCTATCTATCTATCTATCTATCTATCTATCCGTCTATCTATCTATCTATCTATCTATCTATCTATCTATCTATCTATCTATCTATCTATCTATCTATCTATCTATCTATCTATCTATCTATCTATCTATCTATCTATCTATCTATCTATCTATCTATCTATCTATCTATCTATCTATCTATCTATCTATCCGTCTATCTATCTATCTATCTATCTATCTATCTATCTATCTATCTATCTATCTATCTATCTACCTATCTATTTGGGCTCTGTGTAAAACCTTACGTGGATAATCTAAAAGCAAATTTAGGGCTAGTAGCGCGGATCAGGCTCACTTAGTAAGAAATAATAATAAAGAAATAAGTAATAATAAGTTCAAAATCCTAATGCCTATGTTTAATTCGCTCTTCAGGCCCATTAATTAATTACAAAAAGAATATATATTTTTTTTTTGTTTCACTGTATTGCTATTGTAAAAGTCTCGTCATTTTCAGCTATTTTGGGTTGGTGATGATTAGTGGTGATCGCTTTAAATAAAAATAATGTTAAAATGAATTAAAACTATAGATAAATAATTCTTCCGCTTTGCCTTCCGTTAATTTACGATTCTGTTGATAGTTGTGGTTAATATTGTATTTGTAAGTATATGTATCTATGAGAGTACATCCATAAACAATTATGTTTATACACATGTATATTTGTAACTGTGTGAATGATGGTGACGTATCTAACAAATTATTTTCACACTATTATTTTTTTTTTTTTCTTGAAATTTTCAATATAACGTCGTCTGCGCCGCTGTCACTATTATTGTTGTTATTGTTGGTCATTATTTGGCTCATGCTATTCATTAATCTTTTTGCGATTTTCATATAAAATAATAAAAATTTGTTTTAATTTAAATTTCCGTTAATTACAAAATTTATGTACATAAGTATGTTTGTTTGGGGATTTTGTCACATTTGAAAATGTCTTTTAATTTAATATCAATATTTTAATTTTTTGTAAATTTAGTAGTTTATAATTTGAATTTTTTGCACATTGAATTCATACATATATTTTATACATATATATAGAACTGTAAGATATTTATATATGTATGCCCAATGTAAGAATATCTTGATATTTATTTATAAACACATACAAAATTTAATTTTAAAAAATATATGTATCTAAAAAATACATTTGTATATATATCTGTTACACAAATTGTAAATTCTATACAAAATTTTTCTTTTATATTTTCACTTTTTTTCTTTTTAAATATTGAAGAAAATCTTTGTTAAATAACCGTTTTATTATTTAAAATTTTTTCAAATTTGCGTATCCGTTTTTTTTTTTTTTTCGTTTGATACCTTTTAAAATTGACGTAATTCGTTTCGTTGCTGGTTGCTATTTTAATTTTTCTTTAAAATTTTACTTATAGATTTTTGTGAAGAAAATTGCTTTCCTCGTTTTTCTTATTTTATTTTCCTTTTTTAGTGAAAAAATAAAATTCAATCAATTGAACGTTTTCAAATTTTGCTTGCTTTTTAGATAAAAAACTCTTCGTACTTAAAAATATTTAAATTTAATCATTGGGCGATCAGAGATAGACTGATTTAGAAAAAGCAAATTTATTTTGTCATTTCTTTCGCAATGGCTGAACGAAATACACAACACACAAAAATTGTCTTCTTTTCAGCGTTTAGAGTTTTGCTTTTGATTTCCCTTTTTTAACAGTTTGCGCTCGCTCATTTCTCAAAAGTAGTATAAATCATTTAATTATTATTATAAATATATACAACAATTTATGCTCATTTTACTCTTTGTGTTTGAATTATTTTTTAACGATCTGAAATAGAAGAGCATTGCACTGTTTGCCTACATGCCGCCTCTAAACTTCTATAATGTGTTGCCAGATATGATATTTTATGGCAAGTCCGTAATGTTTTACAATTTCTTGAATTTGCACGTCCAAATCTTTGTATAGTTGTGCCCGTAATACTGTGGGTCCACATAGAATATGTACCATCATACTTACATCGGACATGGTCATTTTGAGGATGTTTCTCATACTCTCGTTAGGGTAATATAGGATGGATCTTTTGTGGTTATATCCCAATAGGCTACATGGAATTCTATATTTTTAATTCAGTTGAACGATTTTGCATTCGTCAGATTAACTTGCTCGAGTTTCCTTTAATGGTCCGTTACCCAAACTTGATATGATTAGACCTCTTTGATTAGACCTTATCACTTGATATCACTATAATTGCCATCTTTTGAATCTTATAAAGATAAGGAAATATGTACATATGTATGTACTACAAAATAGGGTTTTGATTTAACAAAAATTTTATAAGTTATATATTATTAACTTTAGAAATTTTTAATATTATTATTCCCATTTGGGAAAAATGTATTTCTCTGGCTACTCTATCTGATTCCCATTCATACACATGTTCAATTAGAGTTTTCTTGTTTGTTGTTGGGTATAAAATTTATCGCTATAGTTAGAAAGGTATTATAAGTTAGAGCTGATGTTTGCAACATCTCAAAACTGGCCGATGTCAGTTCGACTGCTATTGCGGTTTAGAAATTGTTTTTGTGGAAATAAATTGGTATATCGTGAAAAATTCAAAATATCTTAAGAGTCGGATGTTTTGAAGATTAATGTTTTGGTTTTGTAGGTGGAATGGTAATGACCATTGGAAGGCTCTTTATGGAGGTTGGTTATAGTTGTAGTTCACTGCACGCGAACTTTCAAGTTGTCGTTGTTGTAACAACTTAAACTATATAATTTTAATTTGGGGGTTCTGTATTAAGGTCCAAGACAAGCAACTGAGCTACTTCTACTTGATAAGTCCATAAATCCATTTGGTTAGTGAAGTTGGGTGGGCTGAACAGTTGAATAAGTGGTGGGTATCATGAGGTCTCTGACCACATGCTGGGCATACTTGAAGACGACACGGTCTATACGGAACAAGTGTCAGAGCAACTCTTATTTTCATCTCTATTTGAGCTATAGGTGGTGTGTGATCTCTAAGAACGACACTCATGCGGTAATCTGAAACCGCGGTATTGATGGCCTCTCTATGAATGTAGTTCAAAGCTGATCATTACATGATTCGGGGAAGCATCCAAATGTGAGGTGTAAATCTTGGGATGACTTCTTCGGTGACACCTCAGGAGGAACTTTTTAGTCAGCATGATATTATGTTCCTTGACTGGGAGGAATTTCGTTTCCTTGTGTTGGTGGTGCTCCAAGGTTATTTGCATGCACCCCTTTAGAGTTTTCATGGCAGCATTTAGACAGTTTTAAATATTTCTCCCCTTGGTATCACTCAGCTAGGGAGACCGCATTGAAGCAGCATTCTTAACCACTAAATGGGCATTTGTTTTAGAGGTAACCAACAAGGTTTCTTTGTTCATTTCGCACGTGCTGCCGGCTAGCGCTTTGATCTCCTTAATCTACTTCGCAATCTGTTCATAATTGCCGAGACATGAGCTGAGGAAGTAAACAGGCTGTCAATGGTTACCCCTTTAGTCGCTGTAAGTATTTGGACTCCATCGACTACTATTCGCCTAAATTCATATTTTTCTCCTTCATCCAAGTGGTGAAGCGTATTGATGAATACTTCGCTGGTGATAATTTCAGGTTACGTCCAGTGACGAAAGTGTGTATTTCTCCGAAATAACCATTGAAGTTGTTGTAGTAACAGTTCGACTGTGGCCGATAGTTCTTTCCTGGGGAAAAAACTTTCGGTTGATACAGCTGTCCCTGGATTGACAATCTTTGGCCGAGTATGACTCGGGTCGTTCCGGAGTGAAGATGTTGGTTAAAACGGACCACTATATATATGATATAATCGCCAAAAAATCTCTTCCAAATATTGTCAAGCTCGTTTTATACAAAGTGTCTTTAAAATTTCGATAATTTAAATATACTTATAGCTTATATAGGGTTATCATAAGTCGGGCATATCCGATTAAACATTCATACTTGTTTTATTTTTATATTTAATAAAAATAAAAACTGAAATTCTTTAGACAGTTTTAATTTAATATTTCTGTATTTGCCATTATGTTACTCTTACTCAGCTGTTCTGTTGTTAATTGTTGTTTGGCCAGTTCGTTTATTTTGTTGTTTTTTTTATATTTTCTTTTAATTTGTTTTTATTTTTTATTTTTGTTGTTGTAGTTGTTTTGGCAGTAACATTCTAAATAATTGGCTGGTTGGTTTGACGATTCGTATGAATGAAGTAATCACTTTATGAGTCATGCGTTTATTACTCGTATTTTGGCCTTTTGTTGTTTTTGTTTTTATTATTTTTATTTTTTTTTCTCTGCTTAAACGATGATATTCTTAAGAATTAACAAGAAAACACTCATCATTTTATTGCATTTGTTGCTGTTGTTTTATTTCTCTTAACAGTTCTAGTTATTTTAGCATTTTGCTGAATTTCTCTTTTTTACTCGTATCTTTGAGATCGTTTGTGTTTTGTTAAATTTTAGTTTATATTTGTTTTGTTTGCAATTTCTCTCAATATCGTTTAATATTTAACTGGGTGTGTTAATATCCGATCGTTTTGATGCTTATATTTTGTCTCCATTGTTACTACTTGTATTGTAGTGTTAAGAAGAAGAATAATCTATACAAATTTATTGCAACTTCCTCAAGAGCTATAAATTTAAGTATTATGTATTTCATTTGTCAATTTTTTCGTATATACATATGTACATATTTATAATCAATAACAAGAATTCCAGCAGTTTAGGCTCAATGTCCAGAATAACACTATTTCCTATTGTATTCTAAAAATGTATATAATAACAATAAATTGGACTTTTTACCTGTAATATTTTAATGTTTTTGTAGATGGGGCCTTTTGTTTTTTGTTAATAAAATCGCCAATTTTGGTCGGGGGAGTCCAATTTTTTTGTGGACATTTGTTTTTATGTAATACATTAGAATTTTTAGGGATAGTTAGGGCCGTTTGCGTTGTAGGTGACGATATGTAGCTGATGTTTTAAAACACTAAAAACATTTTAGTGTATTTTAGGAAGGTACTCTTATCTAAATATTCACCTAGAATTCACGATCACATAGAAGTTGGAAGAGCCTTTTCCCAGTCTTTGCAAATGTGACAGTTTTCATTGTGTACCTAGCACCCAGTGTCCTGTTATTACTGTTATCAACCTCGATAGGCGGGAGCCTATTTCGGTTTATAAGGTGTCCTGTGCGTTTATCATAGACCATAGACTTGGCCCATATGCTTGCAGTCTACATATATCAGCCTTTTGAAGAATCTAAGGAAACAGCTCTTGATAAAACCTAACGGAGTTGCTGCAGAAACGGCGTTGGAGATATTAAGAGCAGATTCCATTCTGGCAAGGTCATCTGCCCGTTCATTATAATAGTCCCTATGCGCAGGAACCCAAACAAGGTTAATGTCAGACAGTCGACCCAGCCTTGGATCCTTCTTGCATTGTCTAACTAATAGTGACGACGTAGTATAAGATATTGAGGTCATGTAGGTCCCTACAGGCTGTTATTATCGCAAATATTTCAGGCTGAAAAACAGTACAGTTGTTGTGAAGACGGTACTTACCCCAGCCTGTTGATTTTAGAACCATATGTAAAGATTCTGGTGGTATATTCGCTCGGTAGGTTATCCCTACAAAGTCCATGTGTGGATACATTGCCGGGTGGTTGGTACAAGATTGGATGTAGTAGGCTTAAAATCTTAGCGTGTCCAGTTATTGAGTAGCATCAAAACATTAGGCATAATATCGCTAATCTCGTCTGGGAACATTCTTGATACCTGTATCGCAACATCGTCAGCTTAAGCAACGACTTTTATCCCTTTGTTGTCCAGTTTAATAAGAATTGAGTTAACAACGATGAGCCAAAGCAGTGGAGAGATTACGCCGCCTCGTGTATCTTACTTGGACTTAACGTTGTTACCAAGACTTGCAGTAACAAGTTACTAACCAGTTGCTGATATAGATTAGCAAAAGCTTGTTGAATTGCAGTATTTATGTACGTTATTGAAAGTACGTTCTATGTCTAAGAAGGCTCCCATATTATATTGTTTAAATCATAGCTGTAAAATGATGATTAATAATCGTAATCATTATTAATTAGATTATTTTTATTAAAAAAGTAAAATTAATGATTAATTAACGATTATTAAGGTAGGCATGTTGACTAGTTGAAAGCCGTCGTTGCCAATTATGACATCCATAAGAATATTTTTGGACAAAATGAAACTGATAGAGTCCTTAAATGTTGTAGGAACTACTATGGTATAAATATGATTATTTAAGGAAAAAGGGGGCGGACTAACAGTATGGGGCGTGGCAATTCCCATATGAATTAAATACACAAATTCACTTATCTGGGAAACTATTAGAGTTAGAATCTTTTTTGAAGAACTTTAACTTGAAGAACTTTGCGTGAAGAACTTTAACATCCATGTAAACATTTGGGAATAATAAAATGGCGGACTACCAATGGGGAGAGCAGAACCTCCCATATGAATTAAATACAAAACTTCGTTTATTCTGGGAAACTAATAGAACTAGATTCTTAAAATATTGCACGAAGAACTTAAATACTCATCAGAACATTT